CCCCAAAACCCCAAAACCCCAAAACCCCAAAACCCCTAATTTCATAAAAATTGCTGAAAATGGTAAAATTTAGAGCTGACTGGAGTCCAATACCAATTTTTTATCCTCGTCAGCACTGATAGTGATCTTCTCATCATCAATGTTACTTTCTATTTTGGAGATATGGCCTTCAAAATCATGGAGCGACTTGTCTGTCTGTCCTGTGAGCATCCTGGAAGGGAGCCCATGATTATAACTGCCCATACCTATGTTCTGTTGATCCATCTCATCAATAGTCCTGCTCAGTTCAGATAAAGTCTCTGTGTTTTCAACCATCTTTCATTTCTCGTTGATAATTTCAGTTTTGATCTGATCTTGGAGGTTCTTTTTCTGGTAATCACTCATCAAATTCTTTTGCATACCTAAATCTTTAAGACAGAAATGTGATACCTTCTTGGAGCCTCTTTTCCAAAGTTTGAATTTTTGAAAGCTTCACTCTCTTAGAATTGATTAGGTCAAGGATATTTGACTCTTTATTTATTTTTCAGTCTTCATTGGTTTTATTTACGATGAAATTGTTCAAGAAAAGCCTTCTTCTTACTCTTGGTAACAACATGCTTAAGTGCTTTTATGTTATCCATCTCTCAGATATACACTGCAGCACTGTTGTATGTTTTACCATTGAGACCTCCGAATATAATAAGCTGGGTTCCTGAAAGAGCTGAACTAAAGTTATACCTTTGCTCAGGAATATCACCATGGCATTTTACTTGTATCCAGGTGTAGATGTTCAGACTGAGAATCCAAATATCATTAAGAACACATTTACTAGCATTACCAAATGTGTCATTTCTTCCCCCAAAAAGTACAAGTTTATCAAGTTCAGGAGAGTAATGCATGGTATGACCATATCTTGGGCTTGGGCTTGGACCATATTTATCAATATATTTCTGTAAGTTTAGCCAATTTCATGGGGCTTTTCCCATAACTAGGACATGAAGATTGCCTCTGACATTTCCACAACTATCTTTTCCTCCAAAAACATAGAGTCCTTCGTACTGGATTATACTTGGATGAGGAAGTCTATTTTGGTCTCTGTCATACAAAGAAAATCTCTTTGAACCAGCTATACTGATAGTATGAACCACTAAGCAGGCTGCATGAAAAGTGATAGGACCAGGAGATCCATCCAGAACAAGAGAACTCTCTTTCAAATGCTCAATTTGATATTTCAAGCTATTTTTATTTTCCTTAATATTTCTTTTTCTCCTCTGGAAAATGACAGGTAGCTTGACTCTTTGATCAGTTGTTTCAACCATGCCTTTCCATTCAAAATCTTCTAAGGAAAGAGCTACGAGCCCATCTTGGAGTTTTCCACTTTCATCATACCCTCCATAAGCTATAAATAGATCCGCGAGCACAAAGGAAGTATGGTTTCTTCGTAATGGAAGCATGCTGTTATTTGCTTTAGCAGGCTTTGTCCATTTCCCTGTGACAGTATGATACATGAAAAAGCCTTGATAAACATCTGCTACTTTGAAGCCACCTCTGAATTTCTTAAGACCTCCGTAGAACAGTAGGTATTCATCAAACTCTGTACATGTATGAGCAAGGCGAGGCTCAATAAAGATTTCTTCATCATAAGTTTCCATCCTTTCCCATTTCCATTTTAGAGTATCTCAAGTAAGGAAATCTCCAAGACAGTCATGAGACAGACCACCGAAGATATAAATTAACTGGCCAGCCTGGATTAGTGTAAACTGCTCTCGTACCTCTGGCATTAACTGATGACTCTTGATTTCCCTCCAGTAGAAAATATCCTGGTCTATATCTGGTACATATTTTCTTGCTTCTGTGAGGATTTTCACACTTTTCATATCTTGGTTGCTCTTACCTCCTCCTACATTGGTAATATCTGAGAAGGAGTCATCATCCTTAACAACCTTCTGAACCCTAATCTCAGGCATTTTCTTATCTTTCTGTAACATAGAATTTAAGAAAAAATTACCTTCTCTTTGGCTTCTTTAATCCTATCTAAGTATCTTTGACTTCTGTACTGATTCAGAGCTCTGCTAATTTCTAAGTTAAGCAGTTTATTCCGCTGTAAGACTCCTTCAGCATGGTTAGTGTTGTTATAAACTTTCTTCTCAATAGTTGGTTTCTTCAAAAATTTGTTGTTAAATTTGGAATTCCTACACCAAAATTATCCCAAATCGCACTGGAATTTGATAATTCTTACTTGATCATTTGACTGTTGATGTGAGAGTTGTTCCAGCCACCAAGTGTTTTGTAGCCAAGTCAGTCTAACTTCTTCTTATCTATTATTTTACATCACTGATATACTTTAGTAACTTTATCCTTTGATTCATAGCTCTGATAGTTGCTTCGTTATTTAATATTCCTCTTTGCAACTGAGTTTTGATTTTTCTTATCATCTCCAGCTTTATTAGTCAGAGACCGATGAGCTACTACTGAGGGATTGAAATAAGTACTCCTGTACATATTTCCAATAGTTTCATCAAGATCATCCTGGTCTAGAAATAATTAATCGGAAATAAAGGATGATAACTACCTCAGGATGGCTAAAGTTCAACTTACTCGTATCAATTTTGATTCCGAATGGATTTGATTCTTCATCCCTACTGATCATCAAGGAGGGTAAGGAAGAGCTCTTCCTATGTTTTTTCATTATATTTCAATAAATTTATAACCTTTTGGGGTTTTGGGGTTTTGGGGTTTTGGGGTTTTGGGG